GGGCAGGGCAGGTTAGGAGGGGGCTGCGGGTCGGGCCTGAGGGGCACGGGGGGGGGGGGGGGGGCAGGGCAGGTTAGGAGGGGGCTGCGGGTCGGGAGTGAGGGGCACCGGCAGGGCTTGGATTCGGTCCCAGGTGATTCCCGGATTCCAAGGGCCGCTGCGATCACCAGCCGGGCTCGTGCCCGGCCCAGGCCAGAGAACGGCACCCGGCGCCCCCAGAGCAGACGGGAAATGGCCCGTCCAGGGCCCCACGTGGCCGGTGATGGAGAATCCGTCGCAGCCCCCGGGCGCCACTCGCCCATTAGCCGTTCTCACGCCATTTCCCACCGGGGCCTCTCTAACCTCAGCGCCTGGCCAGGGGGCAGCAGCTGGTACCTCCCTCCCACCCACCCCCCGCCTGCTCCCTAGCACCCCCCACTCACCTGCTCCCTGGCACCAGGGCCGTGCCCAGCCGGGGCCCGTCGAGCAGGGCCAGGGCCGAGCGCTGCCCCTCGCTCAGGGCCACGCTGGGGGATTCCTGCATCAGGAAGTCAAAGATCAGCTGCAGCTTCCGTTCCTGGGGGGCAGAAGCAGCCTGTTGGGGGGGGGGAAGCAGCCCCCCCCACGCCCTCAGGCCAGGGCCCTCCTGCAGACCCCAGCCCTAGGGGAGCAAAGCTCAGAACCCCCCCCTCCAGAGCCAGCCCCTCCCCCCGCCCCCCAGAGCCAGAGCCCCCCATCTCCCCCAGAGCCCCCCCAGAGCCAGAGCCCCCCATCCCCCCCAGAGCCCTCCCACGCACCTGTTTCTCCAGCTCGGCCTCGGCCCGGTGCCGCTTCCCCATCTCCACCTCCACCTGGTTGCGGGCGTGTTTGAGCTTCACCCGCAGCGCCGAGCACTCGCCCTCCGCCACCAGCAGCTGCTCGCGGGCCCGGCGCAGGTCCAGCCCCAGGCGGCAACATCTCTGCCGGCAGGCCTCGAACCCGCGGGCGACGCGGCTGCAGTCTGGGAAGGGACAGGGGCTCTCAGCGAGGGGGGGGGGGGGGGGCGACGGCGGGGGGGGGGGGGGGGGGGTGGCCGGGGGGGCACAGTTCCCTGGAGCCCCTTGGCCCCCCCAGCCCATCACCCTGGCGCCCGGCTCCCCCCGGGGCCCCGAACCCACCTTCCTCCACGTCGCAGCTCAGCTCCAGGAGCCGCCCGAGCCGGGCCAGCTGGGCCAGGAGGGGCCCGCCGCGCTCCCGCGCCATGGGGCGGACCGGACCGGACCGGACCGGCCGGGCGGGGGTCCCCGGGGTGCTGCACAAAACGCACCTGGCGGGCCCGTGCCAGCGGCGGGCGGCCTGGGGAGAGGCTCCGCCCCCCGGGTCTGTATTTAGGGAGGGGCCGGGGCGGAGCTTCAGAGACAGCCCCGCCCCCCACATCCATTGTCCGGCTCCTCCGGGGGGCCCTGGGGCCCCGCCGGTAACACGGGCCAGGCTCCCTGGGAGCCGGGTCTGGGGCCCCGGGATCCGGCCCCCGAGTCCGCCCCCAGCGCTGGGACGCAGCCAAACAGGGGGGGTCAGGGGCCGGTTCAGCTCCTGTGGCCCCCACCCCACCGGGAGGGGCTGGGACTGAGCTCCCATTGCACAGACGGGGAAACTGAGGCACGAGCCGGGCTCGGCCTGTGATTTGGGGGGTGGGGGAGGCCCAGAAATCAGAGCCACTGTTGGGGTCCCAAGGCCTCCCAGCCTCAGAACCCAGGCGTCTTGCTGCCTCGCCCTGCACCCCCACGTCTCACGGCTGGGAGCCCCCTCGATCCAGCTCCTGTGCACAGGGTCTGTGTCCCCTTCCCTCCCTCAGCCATCAGGGCTCCATGGGAAACCAGCCCCCCGCAGCGCCCGATCCCCCCCGCAGCGCCCGGTCCCCCCCGCAGCGCTGTGCCCCCACCTGCGACGAAGCAAGCCGAAGGGGGACACAGTAGCTGCTGGGGGCCTGTGGGAATCCATTAGCCGGGTTGTGAGTCACCGCACGGCCCTCAGTTCCACCCCCCAAAGCAATGTGCCAGCGCTGCCCCAGTGCCCCAAGCCGGAGCCGCCCCCGCAGGCCGAGGGGCGCCCAGTCCCCCGGGGAGCCAGGCTGCTGTCCATGCCCTTGTCACAGAGTGTGGGGGAGTCAGGGCCCTGCACCCCTCTTCCTGGGATTCACCGGGACTCTCAGCCAGCCAGTAAAACGGGAGGTTTATTGGACAATAGGAACGCAGGCTAAAACAGAGCCTGTAGTTACAACCAGGACCCCTCAGTCAAGTCCTCTGGGGGGTTCAGGGAGCTTAGACCCCAGCTTGGGATTCCCTGCGTTGCACCACCCAGCACCAAACAGGAACTAAAAACCCTCCAGCAGCCTTCTCCCCCCTCCCCCCCCCAGCTCCTCCT